CGAGTCCCACGGTGGTGTCTCCGCGGTCCAGATGGACTTTACGACGACGGAGGCGTACGGACGCAAGGGCGCGGGCTCCGGCTTTGCCACGGTGAGCGTGGGTGGGCTCGTGCTGGGCGGCAAGCTTGCAGCGGTGACGGCGGAGACGAAGTGGCCCGACGAGGAGTATGCGCAGAGCGGGGTGATCTCACGGGCGATTCACACGAAGACTGCGCACGACTCCGAGACTGGGTACAACGCGCCGACGGAGCTGGCGTTCCGGTGGGCTGCGCCGTCTATCCTGCCTGATGCGCAGGGCGCGGTGGATGCGACTTTGACTGTGGACATTGGCACGCCCGATGCGTACAAGGGCCTCATCGAGAAGGTGGACGTGCTTGCGGAGATCCCGTACGTGATCAAGACGATGGTGAACTACGTGGCGGGCACGAAGCCGTATATCTACCAGGTGGGTTTACGCTCGCAAAGGTTTCATTGGGGCGCTCGCTGACTATCGTTTGATCGCAGTGGCAGAACCCCTCGACGCTTCATGTTAGCCTTCCTGCAGGAATCATTCCGGGTGTGTCCGATAAGGTGGAGGTGGAGGGGGAGCTGTACAACGAGGCGACGTTTATCTCGTAGATGCTGCCGGTGCGGTATACCAGAGAATGTTTGGATGCGTGTGTAGTGTACGTTCATATGCAACAGGGCTGATGGCGACGTGCGAAGGAGTGACGGCAAGAGTACGGGAGCGCTGAGACAATCGAGGATGCCGGGCACAGCAGTAGCTGGCGCGTCTATCTGGCAGAGTCAGGCGGAGATTGCAAAGGCGAGCGATGCTTCCGGCCGTCGGGTCCGCGGCCAGGGGCATACGCTTTCCTCATCTCTCCCTCCCTCCTTTGCAAGCCCACAACAATGTGCTATGTTGCGTCCAGCACTACGCGCAACAGTCCCTGCCGCTCCCCGCTCTCTTCCCCACGCTCCCCGTCGCCGTCTGCCGCAATGTGCTAGGACAGCGACGACCACACACAGCCTTACCTCTGCGCCTCTCCTCGCTGCTCGATGTTTCTCCACCGACGTCGGATCGGCTTCGGGTTCACAACGAGCCATCCGCACGACTCGCCTTGCTGGACATGGATATGGAGACACCCACCCCCTACTACTGGCCCGAAGCAGACCCTTAGCTGGTCGACCCACGCCCGGTACCCCTCTTTTACTAGCGGTTGGTAACGCCCGAGCTTTTCATGCGACACGAAGAAACGAACTGAGCCCCATACCTCTGCTCGCCGGGCTGCTGAAAGTGAGCACCCAGCCGCCGTGGGGTTCGTGCAGCGCGGCCCATGTACTGACCTCCTGTCTGCTTCATTGACCTCAAGACGTCCACCGCGCTCGAGGTGGCGCGGATGGCCGCCCGGATAGGCCTCACCTTCGTCCCTATCATCCTCCTCGGGAACATGCGTGCAAAGAAGCTCATCCGCATCGCAGACGAACACAAGATCCCCGAGCTCGTGGAGAAGCGGGAGCACATGCTGCGCAAGATCAGGCATTCCACGATCCTGTTCCACATCCTCATCTTCGTCCCTATCGTCATCTTCTGGGCTACTATCATTGCGAGCCTGGAGCGCACGCCGCTAACGGGAAGGTGAGTGGGTCAAGAGCGCCCGACGGGAGCGGCCTCTGCTCTCCGAGGCGCACGGCAGCTGAACGTCTTGTCCCAAACCAGGTGGAGGATCATCCTGCTCTCTCCGGAGGAGGAGGAAGACATCGCTGCGCAGCTCGCGGGCCCAGGCTGGTACCGCGCCGTCGGGGAGATACTCTCCGCGGACGGGACCCCTAGCATCATCCCCCCCAGCGACTGGCGCCTCGAGTGGGTGCGGGACACGCTGCACCGGCTCGAGAGTGCCATCCCGGTCCTCGCGCGCGAGGACGAGCTCTGCAAACACTGGGTCGACTGCGGGCCCGACGACGTGCCGCTGCCCCCGCCCGCCGAGTACCCGCTGCGGCCGCGCCCGCGCGCGTCCGAGTACCTGCGCCGCTTCGCGGAGATGACGTGCGCACGGACGTGCCCGCCGCCCCCGCACGTCATCGCCGGGCCGCCGTACTCGCTGCTCGTCATCGACAAGCCGGACTCGTCCAACGCGTTCTCGTACGGCTTCGGCCCGGACGGCGGCGGCGGCATCGTCGTCTTCTCGGGCTTCCTGGACGAGGTCCTCGCGCGGAACCGGTGCGCGACGCCCGAGCCCGAGCCCGAGCCGCGCTCGTGGCTCGCGCAGCTCTTTGGGCTCGCGCCGCGCCCGCGCCCGCGGCCGGCGCCGACGGAGCAGCAGACGGCGGAGCTCGCGACGCTGCTCGCGCACGAGCTCGCGCACCTGGTGCTCTCGCACCACATCGAGACGTTGTCGTCGGGCTCGATCGTGTGGCCCAGCGTGCTCTCGATCGTGACGGACGCCGTGCGCGCGTTCCTCTTCCCCATCACCATGCTCTGTTCGTCAATTCACCCTCGCCCGCGTCGTTCCCGTCGAGCTGACTGGGCGCGTGTTTTCGCAGTCGGGCCGTTCATCAACGACGCTCTCGCCGGCGTGGGCAAGGTCGGTGCGGGCGAGTTCTCGCAGCTGTCCGAATACTGCACCAGCCAGAAACAGGAAGTGGAGGCGGACGTCGTCTCCGCAAGGTCCGTTCTTCCCCCGCCCGCTCGCCCGCGCGCCCCCTGACGCTCTGACAATCTATGCAGGATTCTGGCGCACGCCGGCTTCGACCCGCGCGACGCGGCGCGGTTTTGGGAGGCCCGGCAGGATACCCCGAAGACGGCGGAATGCTCGCCCGCGCGCGCGGAGGCGACCGCGACGACCGGGTCGGGGTCGGGTTCGGGGTCGGCGGGGGCGTCCGCGTCGAGCTCTGTGGTGTCGGAGGTGCTCGCGCTGCCGCGCCGGCTGATGGGCGAGACGCACCCGGTGCAGCAGGTGCGCGTCGCGAAGCTCCGTGCGGAGCTCGAGCGGTGGGAGGCCGAGCGCGAGGCTGCGCGGGCGAAGCGCGATGGGGCGTGTGCGAAGGGCGAGTGATTGCTAGTTGCTAGTGGCTGGCGCCGCGCGTAGAAGGCCGGGGGGGAGGGGGAAAGTGTGTGGGTGTGTGTGGGCAGGGACCGAGCTCGTGAGTGCTGCAACAGTCTATGGACGGACGGACGGGCGGTCTGGAGATGGGCGGGGCAGGCAGGGCGGGAAAAAGAGGCGGACGAGGTTGGTTTATCGTACATCCCCGACGGCGCGCGTCGCGCCGGCGCCGGTCTAGTATCTTTGGTTTATAGAGTGCACCCTCGGTTTGCGTTTGCTCTGGGCCGTCGTCTATAGTTTATTCGTTTGTAACAGTAGGTAGTAGGTAGTACCTTACCGGGCCACGTCCGCCCTGTGTACATGTTTCGCCTCCTTCCCCCCAAATAGCACATCGCCTCTCATATCTCAACTGGGATTGGGAGGTCTGGAGAAAGCTCAATATGGGCTGGGGGCTCTGCGTTCAAACAACATTGTGGCGGTGTATCAGTAATTCCCCTCTCATCTCTATCGCAGCCTGGACGATTCGTTCACAGGTTTCTTGCCGGAGCGGCGTTAACTTACCTTTCCTACCACCCGTTTTAACTCGCAAGACCGGTGATGAGTTTGTCACCACATGTAGCCCGCATTCACGGTGGACGTCACTATCGCGCGGATCTACTCTTGACGAAGCTGCGCTGCTACACTTTCCGCCAGATACACATGTAAACACGCCGACGCGATCCGCCATTCGACATTCATCATCATCACCACCACCCCCCCTGACAAACCGTTCCAAACGCACCGCTCGACGTTCGTGTCTGTTCCGGCGCCGCTACTCTCATACCCCGCCGTTCCTGACGTTATAGTCGGAGCCGGTGAGGGCGGAGAACGCGGGCGCGCAGAGGACGTCCGCGCGGCTCTGCGCCGCCCTCTCGTTCGTCCGCCGCGTCTTCTCGAGGAAGAGGAAGGAGAGGACGACGAGGTCGCGCACTTCGGCCGCGCGCGCGGTCAGGACGAGCGTGGCCGGGGTCATCGTCGTCGTGGTCGTGGTCGTTGCTCCCCCGGTCGACGCGCGGTCTGGGCGGGACCTCGCGAACCGCGCGATGGGCTCCTTGTAGCCGTCGTCCTCGGCGTAGAGCTGCGTCGAACCGTGTCAGAAGCCCTCCCCGCCCGCCCGCACGCATGCGCATGCGCACGACGGATCCGGGGACCGCAGAACCGTCGAGCGTCGACAGCATTCACCTCAAAGGCGCGGCCCGGGGCGTTGCCCCGCCACTTGTACTTGCGCGCGGAGTCGTCTTGGAAGGCGACGTCGCTGCGGGATCGGGCCGTCAGCGCTCGCAGCGCTTGGGGGGGGGGGGGGTGCGCCGGACGTGCTCGCTCACTCCTTCAGGTAGAACGGGACGAGGCTGGTGTGGAGCCAGTCGCGGATCGAGACGGGGGTGTTGTGCGCGAGCGTGACCCTGTCCGGGAGGACGTCCCGCCATTGGAGCGAGGCCAGGACGACGCCGTGCGGGTTCTGGACGTGGGTGACGGTCGCCTTGGCGTGCTGGGTGTAGACGGTGTAGAGCACCTTGCGATCGGGACCGAGGATTGTGGTGTTGGAGGGGTTGTCGGGCGAGAGGGTGAGGGTGAGAGCGATAGGGGCAGACATGGTCGTCGTTCGTGGGCAGTCTGACCTGTCCTTTGATATATGAACGCGTCTGCGAGCGTCGGTCGTTCGGTAGACATCGCAGTCCGACGTTGACGTGCTGCGCGCGCCACGAACGCACGGCGTGCGGGGGACGAATCCTGGTCATGGGGCATGTATGCGTATGTTCCTGATCGGAGAAGAGGCTTGAGCACGGCCGCGTTCAGAGCGGTCCGCACACCTCGTCGGGTCGAGGAGGGCCACTGTGCCCATGTCACGTGCTGCTGCTGCGCACTGGCTGGTCCTTCTCTCGCGGCGCTTGACATGATTTCCGTGGTGTACATTAACATTCGCACCATCAAAAAGGATCCTTCGAACCAGGATTGAACTGGTGGCCTTGGGATCGACATGTACCCATTACAGTCCCACGCTCTTCCAACTGAGCTACCGAAGGATGTCTGCAGGCCCTCAGTAGCACTCTACTCGATTTGTGCGAGACGCACAGGGAACTCCTGCATGCGCTACGTTGGGCAATGCGTACTTGGAATGCGGGCAACGCGCCATATCATTCCTCGCTCACCAGACACCGCCCCCGCAACGACGAATGCTTGGGGATCACAGCCGCGAGAGAAACGCTAAACGCGAGACATATTCGGCTATATATCCCGCAGATGGTACGAGGACGAGTCGGGCTGGCACTTGCCGCGCCCAATATAGCGGTGACCCCACCCCAGACCGCAGACCGCCCTCTTCAATTCGTGAGAACTACCCGCGTCCCTGGCTCCCCAAAATTCCACCCAGACCCCCTATATACCTGCCGCCCTCTGTTCGCACTGACCCCGTACTTTCCAGTACTCACCCCTCTCCTCGCCCCCTTCTACCACCACCCATCACCACCATGTCCTCCGCCTTCCGCACCCTCGCGAAACACGCCCGCCCGCTCTCCAACCCGACGCGCACCGTGCCCCGCACCTCCCGCGCCTTCCACTCCCCCTTCGCCGTCCTCGCCTCGTCCCAACCATCTCTCACCACCCCGCCCGCGGCCCCCTCGAGCGTCTACGAGAAGCAGCTCGACCCCTCCCCGGACCCCGTCGTCAGCGCCGCCGGACACCGCACCTACGTCGTCTCCGCGCCCGACCCCGCCCACACGCCCTACGAGGTCCCCTCCGGCGCGTACCCCACCTCCGCCCCCTACCAGCCCTACGACGCGCCGCCCGCCCCCGCGGCCCCCCGGGCCCCCCGCGCGCAGCTCGCGTCGACCGCCCTCCGCTTCGCGCACCCCATCACGCAGCGGCTGCTCCCCCAGCGGACCCGCGAGAGCGCGGCGCACGGCGGATACTGATGACGGGGCGGCGCGGCGGCGCGCGGCTCCCCCGCGCTTCGAGCACGCGGCAGAGATTCTTCTGGGACCGGCGGGGCTTCGTCGGGGGATGGATGAGCGAGGATGAGGATGTCCATAATCGCAGGTCGCTCTCCGCGCCTGTGTCTGCTGTATATGCGGCGCTGGTAGTAGTAGTAGTAGTAGGTTGTACGAGTACGCGCGCACGATGGTGCCACGACGAGCACGATCGTCCCGTCCATAATACGCATAGACTGTACATGTTAACATGCCTGGTATCGTCCGCTCCGTTCTGCGGCCGCGGCTCGGTCACGGTGCGCCCGAACTCGGCGGCGATGGGAATGGACGACGGGAATATTGATGGAGGAGGGTCCCGCGGTGCGCTCGAGATCCGTCTCAGCTCGTCCTGGAGCGCGTCGCGGCCGTGCTTCGTGCTTCGTGCCTCGTGTTGACGCACCAGCCAGCCCACGCGACGATACGATACGGCATCGGCCCTGAGGCCTGAACGTCGACCTTCAAGCAAAGACGCACCCACGTAAGCGTGACATACAGACAGCACTCGGGTAGAGTCCAAGGGTAAGGGAAAGACGACGTCGGCCATGGTCGACGTACCCCCCCCCCCCCCCCCGGCGTCGTGGAGATGGCAAGCAACGACAGAGCAGTGAGCACTATCGAGATCTACTCGCACGCCGTGCGCGACCCAAAAGTGAGCGTCACGAAACCGTCCCGATCGAGATCTGCGCGATCCCCAGCGCTCCAGTACTTGCGAGGTGCTGCGACCAGATCTCCAATGTTGCTGCAACCGTCAGTGCACCACACACGGCATATAGATGATGACAGCGCTAGCTCGCGGGGGTTTTAGCGAACGACACAGACCGACGGAGTGTTCAGCCCGGGACGTTCCGATTCCACATGGAATCGGTTAACAGCCCGTGAATTTCTACCCCTCACGTGACTTTTGTTGGATACCCGATTTCTTCCGTGTTTCTCCGTTCTTTCACGTTGTCCTCCTCTGCGCTCGCTTTTGAACCTCTGCGACTTATGTGCGTTTTTGGTATTTAACTTCTCACCTTGCCTTTGACTGTTTTTGTTGACGTTTCAACCCGCCGCGCCCTCGCGCGGTGCCCACTGGCGCGAGCGCGTGCCTGTCTCGCGCCCTGTCTCTGAACGTTTACGACTGTCTCGTTAGGTTACAGTGATTGCCCGCCCGTCCCCGATGCATGTACCAGACCCGACTGGTCCTTTTATTTGTTTTCTCTTCGTACATATACTCGACGCCTCCCTGTCCGCTCACCTCAGTCCCGCGTAACCCGCGTCTGACTGAGGTGAGTTGCCCCGTTTACTTATCATTCGCTTACTTGTTACTTACCTACGTTCACGTCCTTAGATTCGCGCTCATAGGTATTCAATACACCTCAGTCCCGCGTAACCCGCGTCTGACTGAGATTCGCGCTCATAGTTTTTCCTAGCTGTGTCGTCACCCTGCGTTTACTTTGTTGTCGTTGTCCTCCTCTGCGCTCGCTTTGTTGCTGCTGCGTTTCTGATCTGAACCTCTGCGACTTATGTGCGTTTTTGGCTTTTAACTTCTCACCTTGCCATCGACTTATTTTCCTAGCTGCGTCATCGCCCTGCATTCACTTTGTCTGCCTCCGTCTCTCAATCTCTCTCATGCCATGGTTCAGCCTCATAAGTTTTCCTTCTTTGTGCACTTCTTTATGCTAACCTTCATCCAGTGCTCTATCGTGATTTCTCTTCGTTCCCTGTGGTCGCTGGCGTCCCTCCCGTGCACTCCTCAACGTACCTTGTTCTACTGTCTTTCTGTAGCACTGTCCAGGCACCCACCGTTGTCGCACGTCGGCCCTCCTCCTTTGCTGCTGTCGTTCCTTGTCACGCCGTCTCTCCTTGCGCGTTGTATAAAGTTCTCCAAACTTTGCTGTCCATGCATGCCATTGCTGTTCCGCGTCATTGTCGTTCCATCAGCTGCCACCCCCAGGGAGAGCTCCCTCACTGTACAGTTCTTTTGTGGGAAAATGGTCTTCTACTTCTGCACCCTCAGCACAAAAGAATGGCACCAGTTCACCACGGTAGTGATTTTGCGCGAGAACATGTGCCAGTGTGGTTTGTGTCATGAAGATGTATTGCACTAGAGAACATGAGATATGGCTGATGTACCGCTACTGACATTGCGTTGCTCAGGACAAGAATAGCTACGGATTGTCCTGCCGGACCATTGTTGTCTGATCCTCGGTTCAGACAAATCAGTATCATAACTGCCTGCAATGCCCACAGAGACGCTATCAACGCTCGACGCACACGTGAGTTTGCAGCCGATCGTGGGGTCCTACTGCATTCTTTTTTCTCGTATGACCGCTGGGGAAAGGCTGTGAACTCAGACTCCGCTTGACAGGCTCAGAGACTGTACGAGAAGACGATAGACCCTGTGCATGCGGACAATTCCATCTCTTTGAAACTGCAGGAAATGTTGTGGCAAGTTCCTCCTTGCATGTCTGACCATCACACTGGTATTCTAACGCTGTGCATTGGTATGCCAGTTTTGCTTTAGTTCAACGAGGCTACTGAGCTGTGTGCTACCAATGGCGCAGAGGCCGAAGTTGTTAAAATGGTAGCTGGTAAAACACCGTGTGGGAGGCCTTGCCTTGAATCACTTCATGTTTGTTTGACTTCTCCGCCACAAAATGTGCAGGTGCCGGGCTTGCCTATGAACGTCATCCCGCTCGGGCAATCAAAGCGAACAGTGTCTGTTACTTTACCTGTGAGTGACACCGTTGTGGCCATTGCCTGTGAGCAGGTAATGATATTATCAAACTTTGCAATGACTGATTACGCATGTCAAGGGCGCACCCATCCTGACAACGTCGTACACCTCAAGTTCTGCAAAAACCATCAGGCGATGTATACATGCTTCTCCTGCAGCTCCTCTCTATCAGGCACCTTGATTTTGGGTGATTTTTTACGCGGCTAAGATTCAAAGTGGCTGTTCCTCGGCTCTGCGCCAGGAGTTCCGCAAATTAGAGCTCTTAGACAATATGACGTGTCTGCGTTTTGCAGGACAGTTGCCTGACACTGTGTCAGGGTACACTCGTGGTTTGTTACTTGGCAGTTACGTGGCACTTAAAGGCCAGCGCTACATACCTTCTGCGGTTTACCCGCTCTTGAACTGGTCAAATCTTTCCAAGGACGAGCTTCAACCTTGTCTAGATACATCAGAGTCCCATGCCATATTATGTCCCTCTGCAACACCGTTGCTCAACGTACGTGGTGTTTGCAGTACCCCAACCGTGCATAAGCGCCGGAGCATTGGCAACCACTAACCCATGTTCTGAAACATAAGAATAAACAGGTGACTCAAAACCCAGCTGCATACGACCATGTTGCATCCGCATTACTCTTACGTACAGTGGCTGTCGAAAAGTGGAACACACAGGGCGAGGTTGAGGCAAGGGATAGTGGAGATTACAACATTGCCCGAGAGTGGCAGTGGAGGGCGCAAGGGAAAACAGGTTAGGTAAGGTGGAGGACGACAGGAGGTAAGACTGAATCGGGTGGAATCGGGCCTGGCGTGCGAAGCAGCGCCTACAACCTCCAAGTACAACGTACACGCTCTCTCGAGTTCGGCGTTTGCACGATCCTGGCAACCATGTCCTATAGTAGTAGTCATATGTATATGTAGGAAGCTCCCCCAACAGCCCTGCAGCGCGCGGCGCTCACGCGTGGACCAGGGATGACATTGCCGCGCATCCGAGCCATCGCATTTCAGAGGGCTAAACAGACACACATGCGCCGCTGCACGGACGGGCGAAAAGAATAAGTAGATTGAAACTATGGAGTAAGAGAGAGGGAGAGAGAGAGAGAGCGGAAATGCGAGGCACGAGCGGTCTACGTAGCGCCAGCAGCTGGGTGGGGAAAGAGATACAAAGGACTCCGGCAGGCCCCGCAGCACTGGCTGCTGCCGCGGGGCGCCGCCCCGCTGGAAACCGAGCCGCGGAAGGGGGGAATGGGAATGGGCGGGGAGGGCTCGCAAACGCGGGGAACGCGGTGGGTGAGTGGGGACGAATGGAGGCGAACGAGCGGGCGGTGTCCTTTGGGCCGGAACC